CCACGCCCAGCTAATTTTTGTACTTTTAGTAGAGACAGGGATTTCACCATGTTGGTCAAACTGGTCTCAAACTCCTGACTCCATGATCCACCTGCCTCGGCCTCCCAAAATGTGGGATTGCAGGTGTGAGGCACCATCCTCGTACAATCTGAATTTTCTTAATCTACTTTACAGGGCACCCTATGAAGAAATTAAAATGAATAGAGAAAACAGAATTTTTCCTTCCCAATACATTCACATTATGGATTAAACAAAATAAATATATAGAGTATGATTCTATTTATATAATATACTAGAAAATGAAAACTATACTGATGAAGGTAGATCAATTTTTGCTAGACAAAAGTGCTAAGGAGAAGGGTAGGAGCAAGAGTGAAAGGTTATACAAGTAGATAAGGAATTTTGGGGGTGGTAGGAGTATTAACTTTTTGGTTGTGGTGATATATTCATGGGTATATATATACATCAAAACTTATTAAATTGTATACTAACTATATTGTCTGTTACAAGGAAGTTATATCTTCCTAAGTCTGCTAAGAGTGAAATAATAAGAAGAAACAATAGTAAAAGTCAGCTTTGGCAATTGCAAATCCATGGGAAATTTGAGACTTTCAACATATTGTTACAAAAAACAAAAACAAAAAATATCCAGCACATTATTAACACTGTTATTTAGACATAGTAATCTAAGCAGTTAGATAAAAGATAGAAAAAAAAGTTATTAGCATGGGAAAAGATTCTCCTAAAACATCAACTGTAGATGAAATGAATATGTACCAGGAAAATACAAGGGAATCAATGAAACACTTAGAAACAACAAAATTAATAGTGATAGCTGACTACAATACTAATAAAATATTAATAGTAAATTTAGAAAGTTTAATGGGAGTATAAATTCCTATAAATATTTAGAAAATATTCTTTGTTTTAAAAAAAGCAAATTCAAAATAAAGTGAAGTAATATGTAGGACATATCTGAAGAAAACTTTAGGACTATTCTTAAAGACATATAAGAAAATGTGAATATGATAGTCTTTTTTTGATTGTTAATTTTATTAAATATATATCTTTAATATACAGTATGCAAACCGGAATAAGCTAAGCTACCTTGATGCTGGCAGCAGCGTAGAGTTGCACTTAATACACTACACACAATCATATACACATACACACATGCACACTCATGTAATCATACACACAATCATATACACATACACACATGCACACTCATGTAATCATACTCACAATCATATACATATATACACATGCACACTCGTAATCATACACACAATCATATACACATACACACATGCACACTCATGTAATCATACACACAATCATATACATATACACAAAAACACATACGCAAACACACTGAGAATTCCAACTTCACAACTTTTGAAGACAGAGAATGATTTTCCTCAGCACACATAAAATGTCCTAAAAATATGATTTAACTATTTATTATCCATATTACAAAACAGCTATTTCAACTCACTACCTGGTCCCATCTCCTTTTCTAGGTCTGCATCCAAATACCAATCTTCTCTTTAAAACACTTCTTCAGCTGTCAAACCATTTTTGCTCAAAGATTGACCCAATTTGGTTTTGTCAGTCAAATTTACCTGTACTAAATCCAGATTCCAGAGAACTTGAAACTTCTTGTAAGGAAGCAGATGCCCAGAAATTCCTCAAAATTATGTTCCCTCCTTATCCAGGAGAGTATGTTTTTTGTTTTGTTTTGTTTGTGTATGTGTGCAATGCCTTTGGAATACTGTCGTCTAATTTTTATTCCAGTATATACACTTTAGGAAAGTGTAAAGGCACAAGTTAAATAATATAAAAATTAATAATTAAAAATATTTGCAATACATATATGATACAATATTTTACTCACATTCAAAAATATTTATAACAAAATGTAATATGAGACAATACTGTACACTGGATAAATTGTATGGCATACTTATATTTCTATTATCATAAACAATGCTAAGACAAAGGAAACTAAAACTACTCAGCGAAACAAAAAACAAAACAAAACATACAACTAAAACAAATAGAAACAGGTAAGGAATATGGAGTGTTCACTTAATATTTCTTGTCCTGGCTACAGTGGGCCATCAGATAATCCTCTATGTCATGATTAAATGCATCTGTTTCTATGCTTCCAAGGTTCCGGGAAGTCGTGACCTGTTAAAGATTTTATCCCATGATTAAAGGCACTTACAAGAGTTGGAAATTTAGTGAATAACTGGTAATACTGTTTATGAATCTTGCCACGCTGGATGCAGATTCAGAGAAACACACAAGGTCCTAGTAGGACTTAGGTTCTGGCCTTCAAGAAGGTCCTGTAACTGGGAGTGATTAACACAGGAACAGAAAACCAAATACCACATGTTCTCACGAAAAGTGGAGCTAAATATTGAGCACATATATGCATAAACATGTGATCAATAGACACTGCAGGCTACTAAAAGGGTGGGGGGAGAGAGAGGAATGAAGGTCAAAAAACTACCTATTAGGTACATGCTCACTACCTGGGTAACGGGATCTGTTCCCTAAACCTCAGTCTTATGCAATATTCCCATGTAGCAAACCTGCACATGTACCCCCTGCATCTAAAACAAAAGTTAAAATTTTTAAAATAGAAAAAACAGAGATGGAAAAATAGTGGCTACTATGGTAACACTCAGGAAGCACAATCAAATTTTAATTTCATAGTAGAGTTGTCAGGGTTACCCTGCAGAACCAAGTGACATAGATATCACTCAGTTTCTTGATGTCAGATTCCCAATGATCACAATTGTAGTGTATAGGAATAAATGAATATGATATTCTAATGCAAAGATTATACTTTGTTTCTAAATAAAAAGACTCAGTGTTATGAAGACATTGATTCTTTCTGAATTAACCAGCAAAGTCAATATCATCTCACTGAAACAAATTTTTAAACTGGTAAAATGATACCGAAATTTAACACTGAGATTTTCTAGTGCTTCCACAGCCATGCTCTATAATATAGGTAGAAATGTGGGGAACGTTAATATTTCTTTGAAGCTTGTATTAGCAAACTCAGAATATACCACATAATTTCATAGATCAATGTTTAATGCTAAATAAGAAATTTCAGATATATATTCTAAACTTTCCTTTTACTGTATGTGTTATCTAATACTTCCTTTAATTTTCCATAGGTTTAAGTAAAATGGTAAAAATATGATTTGTATAAAGCACATGTCCATCTTTTATATCATTCTCTTCATCTGATAACTTTGAATTGCAGTTAAAAATCAGTTTATTATTGTCAGAAAGTTTGACTTAACACTGTATAAAAATAAAATAATTTGCATTTGATATGTGTCTTCCAATGTCAATGCATTCAACTGCTTGAGAAAATATTTTGCTGCTACCTTCTCTTTGCAAAAAATAAATAGCAATAAAATATTTCCAAGGGGTACTTTATATTTGAAATGAAATAAAAATGTATACAAATTTTGATTCAAAACCATTTTTACTACTTTAAAATGCAGAATCCTATCTTAGCTCAATATGATTACAATTATTGGAGCATTGTGGTGATGTCATAGTTGAACTGAATGGACAGAAACGACTAAGTCCTCGTCTGTACAGAAGTAGGATACTTCTCCAGGTAGGAAATCTCTTAATTCTTAAATGTGCTCCATTTCATTAAAGTTTGTAGTGTTTTATTCATAACAAACAAAATAGATTATTATCTTTCACACAATTACTTGAGAATTCAAGTGTAAACTGAGAATTTTGGGAGGCCGAGGTGGGTGGATCACGAGGTCAAAAGATTGAGACCATCCTGGTCAACATGGTGAAACCCCATCTCTACTAAAAATACAAAAAATTAGCTGGGCATGGTGGTGCGTGCCTGTAATCCCAGCTACTCAGGAGGCTGAGGCAGGAGAATTGCCTGAACCCAGGAGGCGGAGGTTGCGGTGAGCCGAGATAGCGCCATTGCACTCCAGCCTGGGTAACAAGACAAAACTGTGTCTCAAAAAAAAAAAAATAATAATAATAAAAAATAATAATAATAAAAGAAATAAAATAAAAGAATATTTACTGAACCCCTACTCTTTTGTTTGTTCCTGTTTTGTTTTGTTTTGTTTTTGAGATGGAGTCATGCTCTGGAGTGAGTCGTTGGAGTGGAGGAATCTCGGTTCAAGCGATTCTTCTGCCTCAGCTTCCTGAGTAGCTGGGACCACAGGTGTGCAGCACTACGGCCAGCTAATTTTTGTACTTTTTTTTCATTTTTAAAATTTATTTATTTATTTATTTTTTAGTAGAGTCGGAGTTTCACCATGTTGTTAGCCAGGATGGTCTCGATCTCTTGACCTCCTGATGTGCCCGCCTCAGTCTCTCAAAGTGCTGCTGGAATTACAGGCTTGAGCCACCGTGCCCTGCCCGAGCGCCTACTTTGTTTTAGAAAATTGATTAAAGACTTAAATGAATCGTTTAATGTAAATTTAACATGCTCTGGGAAACCAAATTTATATTAGATATATTACGAATTTAGGTATATAATTTGTTATATATTTATTACCCTGACCTCCTATGCTCGCTTCCTGTATTAGCTAGATCAGTGGTCCTCAAATAACTTACTTTCATGACTTCACTATGCTGTTAAAAGGTAGTGAAGAACCTAAAGGGTTTTTATTTATGTGGACATTATCTAGCAATATTTACCATATTTGACATTAAAACGAGAATTTAAAATATTATGTCATTTAAAAACATTCATAATATCCCATCACACATTAAAGTAAATATTTTCTGGAAAAATGTTTTCAAACTTATTTTAAAAATTAGAAAAATTGTATTTAGCTTTACATTTTGGCAAATCTCTTTAATGTTTACCTTATGAAACAATAGCTGGCTTCTTATATTTATTCCTGTCATTAATTTATTGTGACATTACACTTTGTATACACTTATGGAAAATTGAGAATGAAAAAATTCAAATAATATTTTTGTATTATTGGGAAAACAGTTTTGAAGGGTAGAGTTCCTGATTGGTTCTTGAGCCCCTAAAAATCCTGGAACACACTTGCAGAACTCCTGTCCTAGGGCATCAGAAGTACCTAGGATACATCTGGATATAACAACCTGTTACAGGTAATTCTAATTAATTCCATAGTTATAAACACACATTTAAAAACATACCATAAAAATGTTATGAACATCTGAAAGATAATAAGCTATACGAAATTCTGACAATTCTTGACAAATTAAAATTGGTTAATGAAAGCAGATTTTAAACAAAATTTTATTAGTAGTAGTAGTATAGTATTATTACACTGTAACCTAGTATGATCACAAAGCATGGTTTTAGGAAGAGAGCAAAAGGAAGCTATTGAATGATGAACATATATACTGCATTTCTTCTTTTATTTGGCAAACAGTTGTTATATACAAAGACTAATGCTAGGTGGCAAGGATTAAATAGAACTGAATCTGCTAAAAAGTAATAACAAATGCTTTCCAGAAAGTTAGAAAGAATACATTATAGCTGAATAACCAGAATTGCCTGGTAGAATCAGAGTTAAGTTTGCAAAGTAATGGGGGAGAGCATAATGTTAAGAAAATAAGCTTACTAGTGAAATTTTCAAAGTTTTAATATGAGTTAGTAAAATATTTTTAGATTATCTTATTGTGATGAGAGAAATTCCTATATCATGCCAAGCTGCTAAAACATGAAATATTATGCTAGTTAGTAAACTATGCCTTTCTGATAATAACCAATAGATTTGGCAAAACTTTTCATTGATTATAGAGTAAGTAATGAACTTGGACCATGCTTTCGGTATGAAAAAGGAAGTAACTTTCTTTTCTGTTCTTTGATATTAAAGGAATGGAAACTCTAAAGGAAATTATTGCATTAAGCCTAAAGCCTAAAGTCTAACATAACTAGACTTATTTAATTATAATTGAAAGCATACTGTCTACAAGAATGAAATAATTTAAATAAGATAACATGTCTTCAACCTTGTTTATTTGATTGTATGTGAAAAGCAATCAAATATTGATCATTCTAATTCAGAAAATTATGTATGCCTCAGAGAAGAAAACCATAACTGTCTTGCTCTGATGGTTGCCATACTATATTACAATCAAATATTTTAAGTTCATGCATTTTAATACACTATAACATTTTGAAAAGGCATCTGCAATTTATATAATAACTGACTTCCTATTAAGAAAGAAGCAAACATAAAATGCAAGTTGGTTTACAACACAAAGTTCACTGTGATAAGAGGATCAAGGTACAATAATAATAATTTCTCCTCAATTAGATTGTCTGTTTTATTGCAACTGTATTTGATGAAAATATTTGAACACAAAGTCCAGTTTTCAACAAACTATGAAGCCTATGATTTTTGAATTAAAATAGAAATATTTAAATATCCTTCAAATATGTTATAAAATGACTTCATTTGTTCATTCAACTATTTATCCAGATCCTGCTATTTGCAATGCCCTTTTCAGTTACTATGCCTAAATCGGTAGGAAGAAAAATGTAGAAGGACAAAGTAGAAGGACAAAAATATCTCTATCCTTAAACTTTGGAGCCTAGATTCTAATGGAAAAGTAATAGACAACCAAAATTTAACATACTAAATAAGTATATTATATAATGTGTTAGAACACAGTAAGAGCTATGCAGACAAATGAGTAGGAAAATGATTGTATGTGCTAGGGGATAGCATTGTTACAATATTTTGTGTTTTTTTTTTTTAATTAACACACAGGAAAATTGCCTTTTACTGGTACATGCTTTTTCCAACTTAGCACTGGTATATATTTCTGTAACCACAACTGCAATCAAGATAAGAACAATTCCATCAACTCCAAAACACTCTTTCATGCTGCTCCTTTGTCATGAAATCTCTCCCTACCCCTAAACCTTGACCAATGCTGGTCTGTTTTCAGTCTTTATAGTTTTGTGTTTTCAGGAATGCATTTGAATTGAATCATACACTAGGTAGCCTTTAACATTGCCATTTTTGGAAGGACATGGTGGCTTATGCCTGTAATCCCAACACTTTGGGAGGACAACCTGGGAGGATCACCTGAGCCCAGGAGATGGAAGCTGCAGTCAGTCAGTCGTGATAGTGTCTTTACACTCCAGCCTGGGTATCCGTGAAACCATGTCTCAAAAAAATAAAACTGACATCTTTCACACAGCATAATGACTTTGCGATTTATTAGAATTGTTGCATATACCAATACTCTATTCCTCTGTATTGCTGAATAATATTCCATAATAAAAAATGTATCACAGTTCATTTATTCATTCAACTGCTGAATCTGGTTTTGGCAGTTATGAACAGAATTTCTATTAATATTTGTGTACGAGTTTTTAGGGCTAATGTCAGTTCTTATGTGTCTAAGGTAAATATCTGAGAGTAGAACTCCTGGGTTTTATGGTAAGTGTATGTTTCAATTTAGAATAAATTGTCAAACCATTTTCCAAAATGGCTGTAACACTTAGCATTCCCACTAGAAATGTTCTTTTGCTTATCCATAAAAATTTTAGAATTAGTTTATTTATACTAGCAAAAATCCTGCAGGGATATTCATTGTAATTTCACTCAATATCTATTGAAAGTTTGGGGAGCTTTCCCTTATCTACTACATGAAGTATATGGATTTAAATCCATGCACACAGTATGCCTTTCCAAGCATTTAGATTTTCTTTGGTTTCATTATTATTTCATAGTTTATACAAATATGTGTTTTACATGTTTTGTTAGATTTGTGCCTTAGTATTTTATTTCTTAGTTATTGTAAATAGTATTGAACTTTCTTCTGTTGCCCCTGCATGCTGTATCCTTGATAAACCCACTGATTTGCTTCAGGAGTTTGTTGCTTGTTTGCTTTGTTTGGCTTTAAATTCTGTATTGTTCAGCATTTTCCAAAGAAACAAAGTAAGTAAAAAAAAATACAGAGAGAGACCGATGCGGGTGGCTCATGAGCAGGTGGAAGGTGACAATTCCAAAACTTGTAGGACCGGCCAGCAGACTGGAAATTTGGGGGCAGGAGTTGATGAAATTTTGGGGCACGAGCGATATGTCTTAAGGGAAATTTCTTCTTCCTCAGCAAAACCTCAGTTTGCTTTTAACACCTTTAAAATGATTAAATGGGACCCATACACATTATCAAGAATAATCTCCTTTAGTTTAAGTAAGCTGATTGCAGGTGTTAACTGCATCTACAAAACACCTTTATTATGAGACCTATATTAGTTTTTAAGTTAGGTACAAATATATTTAGCCTAGCTAAGCCTACACATAAAACTAACCATGATAGAGTCTTTGGGATTTTCTAGGTTGACAATAATACATTATCTGTGAATAGGGCAGTTATATTCCTCTTTTTCCCATCCATATAGTTATTTATTCCTGTATCTACTGTACTGGTCAGAACTTACAGAACAGTATTAAATAAGAATGATCAGAGTGTATGTTCCTCTTTGTTATTTGTCTAACTTAGAAAACATCTAATCTTTGAACATTAGGGTGATGTCAGCGGTACAATCTTGACTCAGAACGTTTCCTTCTATTTCAAGCTTGTTGAGAGATTTTTATTATAAATAAATATAGAATTACAAAATGCATTTTATATGATCATGTTATCAGTTGTTGACATTTGAATATTGAAGCAGCCTTGCATCCCTGAGGTAAATCCCACTTTGATGTAAAGTTTTGAGGTTTTTGTATTTTGTTTAGTGTATGCATTGATAGATTAAAATTGCCAACATTTTATTGAGAATTTATTTCCCTGTTCCTAATAGATACTAGTCTGTAGTTCATTTTCTTCAAAATGATGCTTTTATTTTTTTTAATTTTAAGTTCCAGCATACATGTTCAGGATGTGTGGGTTTGTTACATAGGAAAACATGTGCAATGATGTTTTGCTGCACCTAGCAACCCATCATCTAAGTATTAAGCATGCTTTATCTATTTTTCCTGATGTTTCCCCACTCTGCTGACAGGCCCCACTGTGTATTGTTCCCTTCACTGTGTCCGTATGTTCTTGTTGTTCAGCTCCCAGTTAAATGCAGTGTTTGGTTTCCTGTTCCTGCATTAGTTTGGTGAGAATAATGGCTTTCAGTTTCATTCATGTTCCTGCAAATGACATGATCTTATTAGTTTTTAATGACTGCATAGTATTCCATTGTGTATATGTACCACATTTTCTTTATCTGGTCTACCATTAATGGGCATTTGGGTTGACTCCATGTCTTTGCTACTGTGAATAGGGCTGCAATAAACATACACATGCATGTACCTTTATAACTGAATTATTTATATTCCCTTGCATACATACCTAGTAATGGGATTGCTGGGTCAAATAATATTTCTGTCTTTAGATCTTTGCAGAATTGCCACACTCTCTTTCACAATGGTTGAATTAATTTCTTCTCCCACCTCCAATGTGTATAAGCATTTCTTTTTCTCCACAACCTTGCCAGTATCTGTTATTTGATTTGACTTTTTAGTAATAATTATTCTGACTGCTGTGTGATGGTATCTCATTGTGGTTTTGGTTTGTATTTCTCTTACGATTTGTGATGGTGAGCTTCTTTTCTTATGTTCGTTGGTCACATAATGTCTTCTTTTTGAAGTGTCTGTTCGTGTCCTTTACTCACTTTTAATGGGGTTGTATAATTTTTTTTCTTATAAATGTGTTTAAGTTCCTTATAGACTCTGGATTTTAGACCTTTGTCAGATGAATAGATGGCAAAAAATTTTCTCCCATTCTGGAGGTTGTCTGTTACTTCTAATACTAGTTTCTTTTGCTGTGCTAAAACGCTTTAGTTTAATTAGATTACATTTGTCATTTTTTTCTTTTATAGCAATTGCTTGTGGGAATTTTGTCATGAAATCTTTGCCTGTGCCTATGTCCTGAATGGTATTGCCTAGGTTTTCTTCCAGAGTTTTTACAGTTTTGGGTTTAACATTTAAGTCTTTATTCCATCTTAATTTACTTTGCATATAATGGGTACGGAAGGGGACAAGTTTCAATTTTCTGCATGTGGTTAGCCTGTTCTTCTACCTCCATTTATTCAATAGGAACTTCTTTCCTCAATGCTTGTTTTTATCAGGTTTGCC